CGGGAACAGGTTGAGAGCCTGACGCTGAGGCAGCGATTCGGCATTCAACGTTTTGCATCCTCCGACAAGGACATTAGATTCTTCACAAGGTAGGTGTGTGTGTGTGTGTGAGGAGGGGGATGCGCGCGCGTTTGTGTTACACAGAGTATAAAATTATTTTAGAAAACCTTTTCACGAGTTCTATGCTAAAGCGAAAAATTCAGTTTGAATTAAGTTCGCTCTCTCTCTGTCTCTCTCTATATTTAATGTGTGTGTGTGTGTGTGTGTCTATGTGCCTAGGTATATTATTTGTGTGTATGTATACATTTCATTTATTTTAATTTTTTGTGTTCATTTCATACTTAAAGCCCCAAAAAAACAATTTACAAAACCACATGAAAAAAATACATAAAATGAAAGGTAGCAGAAGAAATAATCTTATCATATCAGCCCCTTCTTTAAAACAAAATTAACTCAAAATATCAATTCAAACAACAGTCATCTATGAATAATGTAACATGACAAATAACTAATACCAATCTTCCATATAAGTATTTATATTCTAAATTAATTACAGTATTACAGCACAGTGCCTGGGGTTGAATTTATTTTTACGTATGCTGTGTAGTTTAACACGGACACTAATTGTTATGGTATGGTTTTTTTTTTCAGGTTTGCATCATATGACCTTCTGATGCATTTCTGGGGCATGATTGAGCCCTCTCTGCCATCCATGGTCAGTGTTCGCCAAGGACAGAGAGGAACTGCCCTCGACTCCACTCCATCAACTTGTACTTTGCAGCCCATTGATGAGTTCTTTATGTTTTTAAATTACCTTGCCCTTGGATCCAAGCAACGTGATCTTGCTGACCGGTACGGTGTCCATCAGTCCACTGTCAGCAGGATCATCACAACATGGAGCAATTTTTTATTTACAGTCTTAGGTTCAATTAGGATCTGGATACCGGAGGAACATATACGAAAACATCTACCGGCAGACTTCAAACACTACCCTGACACTACAGTCATCCTTGACTGCACTGAGCTGAGGTGTCAGTGCCTATCTTCCCCTCTCCTCCAGAGTGAGGTGTTTTCATCTTATAAATCCCACTGCACTCTGAAAGGGCTGATTGGGATTGCACCTCATGGGGCAGTGACATTCATCTCTGGACTGTATGCCGGGTCTATCAGTGACAAGCAGATCACCCGTGAATCTGGTCTCATCACGCTGTTAAAACCAGGGATGGCTGTTATGGTGGACAGAGGCTTTCTTATTGATGACATTGTTCCCTGCAAAGTGTACAGGCCAGCATTTCTGTCTGGCAGGTCTCAGATGTCTGCTGAGGATGTTAGAGAGACCCAGGCCATAGCACGTCTCAGGGTGCATGTGGAGCGCCTCATTCGCCGGGTCAAAGAGCACAAGTTATTTGACTCTGAAATTCCCCTAGGTGTTTTTGGGAGAATCAACCAACTGTTCACTGTTGCTTGTCTACTCACAAATTATGAAAATGGCCCACTAGTAAAGGCCTGGGCAAAGAAGCCTGACATCTGAGTAACAGCAAGAAAATATGCTGTATATCTATGTTTGATTTTGTTTTTTTGTACTTACAATAAAATTAAATCACTGTCCTAAATATTTCAATTTCTCTGAACTTTTTCCATTAAATCAGTTCTTTTATAACATTTTTCATATAAGTCAAGCCATCAAGTGGGATATTGAAATACAGTACTAATAAAACTGAAATGAAAAAATTTATTTTATTTTATTTTTTTTCAAAAAATGCCACTCATCTAGTGAATGCAAACTGTTGAAACAGAAAAACACAGTTCACAAAGAGGGTATGATTATAACAGCCTAATAGCTAATTTCAAACAGAATAAATTGTATCTGACCTTAAAGAGAAATACATAAATCTAACTGCTTAAAAATAATATAAATGGAAGGAACATGACACAAGTATTAACAGTATTTTCAATCATATATGCAAAGGTTAAAATTTGACTATGTTACCTTAATTTGCCAGGCAAGCGCTGAGGTAAAAATAAAAAAAGAAATGGTCAACCTTTTGTTTTATGGTTTGCAGTTCTTCCATGTCACGGGGAACCCTCTCAATGAACATGTCATTTTCTGTGTAAATGACAAAGTCACACCAGTCACACCCTGAAATTAGCATTTGTCCCTGGATTTGCCAGTAATATACCATACCATACCAATTTATTTATAAAGCACTTTAAACAGTGACAAAGCACACCAAAGTGCTGTACAGGGACAAACAGAACAAGCACATAGCAACAGATTACATAACAGGACACCAAAAAGTAGAAACCGACAAAAACAATAATGGATAACAACAACAACTGCAACATGACCAACACAGTGTGATGCACACAGACTCAGCACAGATCACACAGTGCAGAAAGCCAGGGAATAAAAGTGTGTTTTTAAGCGAGATTTAAAAACTGTGAGGGAGGGGGCCTGTCTAACCAGCAGAGGTAACTCATTCCAAAGTCTTGGGCCTGCTACAGAGAAGGCCCTGTCACCTCTGCGCTTGAGACGGGTTCCTGGGACTGTTAGGAGCAACTGGTCTGCTGATCTGAGAGAACGTGGTGGGACATACGGCTGGAGCAGATCAGTAAGATAGGAGGGGGCAGAGCTGTTTAGTGATTTATAGACATACAAGAGTATTTTGAATTTGATTCGAAAGTGAAC